TATTGATGTACTAACAATATGCGTAATAATTTGTAATCATAATATTTCTTATTTACATGCATATTAGTACATTTTGGCCACTGGTATCACTGTTTTTAGCATTTAATACATTTCGTTTTGAAGTCGCATTCACCTAACCCTATTTTTCCTATTGGATATGTGTACTTCAGTACGTGATTTTAGTGAAGGCGAGGTTATTCAGGAATACAAAAGTCCCGTTGCAGCAGGACTGACTGTAAATTGAGGCAATTTCAAATGCATCGTGTGGTCAAATGCTTCAAAGCTGATTCAACATTTCCAACATTTATTTTTTTCAGCGTACATCCGACGTTAAATAACAGGACACGACTTGAACGACCCATTCATTCACAAATGTTTGTAAACCTGTCCGCATGATTAGGTGCTTGATTTTATACAACTGTGGAAGTGGGTCTGAATGGGTCTTATGAATGAGACAGGAGGTAGGCCTAATCGAATGATAAGTCGTCAGCATATCCGCTAAGTCTGAGTAACAGGACGCTTACGTGCTGTTGCAAAGAGCGCCGCTGCTTTGCGGTGGCCCATTTCCTCCAGCACGCCCAGCAGGTCACCCAGCGTCTTGTTCTGTAGACCCCAGCTCCAGAGCAGCTCGCGCGTCGGGCTTTTTCCAGTGGCCGCGAGCCTTTCCGCGAGACGCACCTCCAACCAACTGGGCAAGATGCGCGATGCTAAAACGAAACGACATTTGTCATTTGATTCAAAATCCTGCAAAACTTACCTAGTGGTATTAAAACTGGATTCAAGTACAAAAAATACAAACAGTTTGGCTAGATTTCACTGTTGACGTGTAATAGGCTATGTCGATACGTACAATCGGATGAGGTGTGCATTTACAAGTAACATTTGTGTAATTACTTACCAAATCCCCTCCATCCAAGATTCCCGTCGCCACTGTCAATGATATTACAAAATTTCTCTATTAACAGCGGGGAGATTTCAAAAAGAAATGTTGAAGAATTTAACGTTTCCATTGTTGCGCATTAGTGCTGTTTGACAGTTCGCATCCTGAAACTCAGTGCATTGGTCCCTTCCGTTGTACTTTTAATCGAAGATGTTTGAAATCCATTAATACAAAAAGTTTTTCTACTGACTATTCATGTAAACAATGAATATCATACGGCTATACGAGTCCTGTGGTGCAGTCAGGAAATGCGCGGACTGATTAGCAGACGCTCGCAGTCTCCGTGCCCGCAGCCCCACTGTCTGCCGACGTAACCTGAGCACCGAGTTCCGCGCGTCATGCGCAGCGAATTAGCTAATCTTGGAAAGTTGGGCGTACCTTTTTATTTTAGCACGCTCTGGCAAGATAAAATACATTTTTTGCCCAAAACTGATAAGTGATATTTAATAAATGTAAGTGGTGGGTGCCGAACGATTATTGCATGGCAAAAGGCCTACCCGAAATACATGTTCAATAGTTAAATAAACATCTAAGCTTGAAGATGATTAGATAGATAGATAGATAGATAGATAGATAGATAGATAGATAGATAGATAGATATGCTAAGTAGGCTTAGCATGTTGGTTAGTTTATCAAAGAAATGTCAGTGATATTGAACGTAATTTGCTTATTTCTACATTATCGTGATAAAAAGTACATTATATAGTTTATGTACTCTGTCGTACGCAGGATAGTTGCTTTTTCTCTCAAGTCTGGCTGTGTTTATTAATAGTGTTTAGGCTGCTACAGTTCTGTGTTTTTGTTAGACTTGTTGGATATGGCGTTAATTATATTGTACCTGTCATAAATGTTTATAACTTGGTGTTTTTCCCTACATAATGACTGCCTGTAGTTGGGAAGTTACCTGCAGCACTCGCTTAAGTCAGTTTCACGTTGTTTGACTTCACACACGTACGCCTCCTGGTTGCTGGGTGCCGCGCTGGTGGGCGACGGAAAATGTCACTGAATCTCGTGACGTTGGTAAAGTTAGTTTGCGGTTCGTTTTTCATGTTGCAAACGGCCATAAAAACCTTATATATGCACGAAAAAATACGAATTATGGCTCCTTGTGATAGTCCTGTTGTGTGAATTCAGAAAATATAAATACATTGCGTAAAAACAGCCTTTAATGTATTTTGACCAGTTATTTTCATTAGCTTCTCACGTCAAAACCAGACGTGC